TTAATATATATTCTTATGATACATATTAAAAAAAACTTAAATTTTAATTTTTATGAGTAATATAAATTTATAAAAAATATATTTAATACACTTTTAATATATATTCTTAAAATATAAATTATTAAAAAATTTAAAAAACTATTAAATTTAAGATACAAATTAAATAAACGCGTTTCTACCTTTACGAAGCTGGCTGTTCGCCGTTTGCTTCCCGTCGACTTGGTTTTGCTCAAGTCAACCAGTGACCATCAACATCGTCTGAGACCTTTGAGTGTTCACTTCGGACTGTCTTTCTGGTTAACAAACAAAAAATCACTAGTCTCAACCCAGCCTAATTATATCCGGCCACTTCCCATGAATAAATGAATAATTCTAATGAATTAATCAGCTAAAGTTCATGTGTCAACTTCTAAGTTTTACCGTAGAGCCTTGTAGTTGAAGACTTGAAGTTCCATTTTTACTAGTACATATGAAAAGTTTTCACACTTAAGAGTTTTTTTTTTTTTTTTTTTGAAGATTTTATGATAAAGAGTTTGAACATTTACTCTTTTTTTTTTCTCATTTTTCTCGTAGCTCTTAATCATTTGTTCAATTGCATTAAGAAAATAAGTTATAAGTTCTGTTGTTATATAGGGTACATACTTAAAATTACTTAATTTAACTTTTTAAAAATTTTAAAATATTTAATAAAAAATAATTTTTAATTAATTTTATTTATATATTACCTAACTTAAAGTTAAACTTTTTTTAAATTCTGATATGTGATATATGTAATTATTGTGTAAGATTTTCGCTTATATTATTGAAGTTCAAATCCCTCTTCCCCAATCCACCTTCTCTTTTCTTCCAATTCCTCAGGTACAAAATTAAAAAAAAAAAAACGGAAGTCAAGATCTTTTATTCCCTCCTAGAAAGGGGATTACTTAATGCTTATTCAATAAACACAATACCGTTAGAAAATACTGTCACCTAACACTGGCACCATTTGAATGTTAGCTTGGAAAGAGATGGCACATCTTGATCTTGCTGTCACACTACTCAACGGACGAAAACAGAGTAGGACAGTACTATGCGCCACTAATTAAAGATGAACTGTTGACTGGAAAAATGAAACAGCCCCACTCAGAACTTCGGACGAAACAACTGTTAACTTGATAAGCAAGGAATCTTTAACTTTCTTGGTGGGACTATTGATGGACACTTTAATTGATGGCCTGAGGGCCATAAATACTTACATAGATTCCCCTAATAATAGCTACCCCAGAGAGGAAGGAGCATATTGAATTGAGTTTTTTGGATTTAATGATTTATTTTTACGATATAATACTTAAATTTA